CAGGTGAGCGGTGCAGGGCAGGAGACCGAGGAATGTTGTTGCACACATGCACGGGCAGAATTATCTGAGCCAAAGCAGGCGGATGGACCGCACTGCTGCCGTGACAATTTGCAACGCGCGCGTTCTGCTGCGCCAGCGGAGCCGCACCGCGTCTGCAGCGGTAGAGCCCATCATAGGTGTAGGCCGATCGTCGTTGATGGTGTCATATTTTGACGTCGGCCTCCTGCAGCATGCGAGCATCGTGTCCACAGCTGGCGCGGGGAGTTGGGCTGACCGCGGAACAAACAACAACGTATCGTAATCTGGACTGCAACGCGTGTGTAGTCAGCTATATTCATGTGATGCGTATTACACGAGAACCCTGCCCCTGCAACGCCGAAAGCACACCTTCGATGCTCGCCGCGCCAAAATTTCATGTTGCAGTTTGACCGCTTTTGGTTCGAAAGCACCCTCTCAGCCCCGCCCAAAGGGGCTACGAGTTTGGAAATCAATAGCACGGGTTGATTGAAGTTATCGTGTTGGTGACGTCGATGCGGACGGCTGCCTGACGTGTCCCACAGTGCAACGAATGGCAGCGCGTATCACGGCGCATGCACAGCAGGCGTTTCTTGAGGCGGCCGGTGACAGGGAGAAACATGGTGGGTTAAGGCTGCATTGCATCGGGCTGCCTGGCCCAAGCCCGCATTTGGCGCCCATTGTGCACCAGCCCTTGTTTGCACAGACAGCGGCCGGCAAGCAAGCAAGGAGGAAAAAGGTGTGCAGCTTAGATGAAGAGTCACGCTTTACGTGGGCGCCTGCCGGGATCCAACACCACTGGATGGAGTGCGGCAGCTGGCCGGCAGGTGGCTGTGACGACCAGGAGGGCGGATGCCCCAGTCTTGTACCCCTTCAAGGGGGCCCTGATGGACACCTTTACCATAGGCTTCCAAGTGTACAGCCCCAGTGCCCTGCGTGCTCAATGCCCTCTAGGCTCCAGCCACGACAGCTGCTCGACAACCCGCCCTTGGCGTCCCACCAATTTTCATACACTGCAAGCTTGTCGGCAGCTGAATTCTCGCTTTACAGGGGCCGTCCTCGGCCAACGCTGCATGAGGCCAGGAAGCCAACTCACATGGGCGCAGCGCAGCGGAGGCGCACACGGGCAAGGGCAGCGCGGGCAGGGGCGGGGCCCTGCAGGCCGCTGCGCGGCTGTGAAACAGGGGCGCGGCACGCAAGAAGAAGACACCGAACATGATGCGGCACACAATGATATCCAACCACGCAACACACCAAGCCGTCAAGCCATGTGCTCGGCGCACGCAGGCGGCCCACGCAGCGCACAAGCATCGGCGCGCCTCACAGGCCAGGCACAGCAAGCAGAAAGTTCGCGACGCGCCCCCAAACGGGCCGCCGTTGCCGGCTCCCAAACCTGCGCTGTCCGAGCAGCCGCGAACGACCCGAGAGGCCCCCAAACGAGCCATGCGGTCCTCGCGGCCCCCAGGGTGACCCCACCCTGCAAGCTCAGCCGGTCGCCTGTCACACAGCCAGCAGCAGCCTGCGGGGGTCCTCCACCACCTCCTTGATGCGCTTCAGGAATGTCACGGCCTGACGCGGTCACAGGGAACCGCGCGGGCGGGGCCCGGGAGGGTGGGCGTGTGTGTGTGTGTGTGTGTGTGTGTGTGTGTGTGTGGCACCGGCCGCACAGCGGACGGCCACCAGCAGCCGGCCACAACCAGCATACCAACGACAAGGCGCGGCTGGCGTTCGTTGCGCATGGGCTGTGGGCGGCGGCCGCATCGTTGAGAGCAGGCGGGCACTCTTGCGGGTCCCGAAGCAGCGCCGCAGCTGAAGCCTTGGCTGTTCTGTCAACACCCAGGGGAGGATTGAAGCAGGCATCCCGCACCTTTCACTGGGAGGACATGCGCACACAACCGCGGACAGCGCTCCCACACAAACGTGCACAGCGCACACACAAACACGCACACGCACACGCCGCAACACACGCAGTCGCTGGCCTCAATACACGCGTGTGCACACACCTCACGGCCGTCGATGAGGCGGTGGTCGTAGGTGAGGGCGACGTACATCATCGGCCGCGCCTCGATGGACTTGCCCACCACCATGGGGCGCTGCTCGGGCGCGTTTTTT